GTGGCACAGTCAGTTAAGCGTCCAACTCTTGGGTTTAGGCTGATAGTGATCTCAGGGTCGTGAGATTGAGCCCTGCACCAGGATTCTCTTTCCCTTTCCCTCTGCCCCTCCCACTAGTGTGCACGCTCGCTCTCTAAAATAAATAAATAAATCTTAAAAAATATAAAACTACCATTGATCCAGTCTTACTTCTGAGTATATATCGAAAGGAACTGAAATCAGGATCTCAAAGAGATTGCACTCCCATGTTCATGGAAGCATTATTCACAAAGCCAAGACAGGGGTCAAACCTAAATGTCCACCGACAAACAGGTGAAGAAAAGGAGGTATATACATACAAAGGAATATTATTAAGCCTTAAAAAAGAATGGTACATTCAAGTACTCTGCTTATATCAGCTCCATTAACATTCTATTGGCCATTATGTAAATACATAAAGAGGGGCTAGGAATTTTAGAGAGGGTAGAGAAAAAGGATTTTGGTCTTTCCTGTATTGTTAGGATTTTAAAATATCAAAAGGGTGTTCATATATTACTAGTGTTAATAAAAAAAAGTCAGCAAATAAAAAAGCAAAAATAATTCAGAAAAATTAAAAAAATAAAGTTTAAATCCCTATAAACTTTCTAGTAGTCACATTTAAAAAGGTAGAAAGAAAAGATCTAATTAAATTTAATAATGTATTTAACTGAATATATCCAAAATATTATCATCTAACATGTAATCCATATGAAACACTGATGAAAAATATATTAATTTTTTTCTTATTACTTTTCTTAAAGTCCAATATGTATTTTACATTTATCTCAATTTGGACTAGTCATATTTCAAACGTTCAGTAGCCATGTGTCTAGAGGATACTGCACTTGATAACAGCATAGGCGTAGACCCTTAACAGAGTACTATATTGAAACATCACACACACACACACACACACACACGTACACACTCATGTATATTAAAGTAAAACCTTCATTAACCAAAATGAGTGAAGAATGAAAAATTCAAATTGCTTTTAACTGACTTATGTTTGGGGTCGGGTTTTTTCTGTGTCTACACATATGTATGTGTGTATACAGTTATAGATTACAGATGTACATCAGTCCTCTTCCTTTTCTTGATTGTTATTTAGCACAATTAGGTATTTAATATGGAATTAAATATATAAACAAGTGAAAAAAGAAAAACAACATTCTATTGGCCAAAGTGACGTGGCCAAGCTCAAAGTCAAGGAATAGAGGAGTACACTCTACCCGCTGAGAAGCCATGGCATGAGCATGGGTACCCAGAGGTGAAGACCTGAGAACAACGATCAAGTCTGCTACAGGTGGCATGGCCTCTTCCATCTGTACCTCTGTGCAGACCACGGGGGGAGGGCCTGTGGGAAAATATGTCCTATGTGTTCTGTCTTAAGTGGTTTAAACAGTTGTTTTTTTTTTTTTTTAAAGATTTTATTTATTTGACAGAGAGAGACACAGCGAGAGGGGGAACACAAGCAGGGGGAGTGGGAGAGGGAGAAGCAGGCTTCCCGCCAAGCAGGGAGCCTGGATGCGGGGCTCGATCCCAGGACCCTGGGATCATGACCTGAGCCAAAGGCAGATGCTTAATGACTGAGCCACCCAGGTGCCCCTGGTCTTAAGTGGTTTAGATACTTCAAAAATCAAACTCAAGGGGCGCCTGGGTGGCTCAGTCGTTAGGCGTCTGCCTTCAGCTTGGGTCATGATTCCAGGTCCTGGGATCGAGCCCCGCATCGAGCTCCCTGCTCGGCGGGAAGCCTGCTTCTCCCTCTCCCACTCCCCCTGCTTGTGTTCCCTCTCTCGCTGTGTCTGTCAAATAAATAAATAAAATCTTTAAAAAAAAAAAACAAAAAGACAAAAATCAAACTCAAATTTAATTAGAAATAGAACACATTTAACAAATGTTAACCCAAGTTCATTTTGTACGTTTCCCCTCCTCTGAAACAAAGTAGAGGAAAAGTTTGAATTTCATTTGTACATATAATTCCAAATTTCATATTTATGCTCCTGGAGAAAGCACCATTTCAAAATATCACTGTCATTAATGCAAGCCCTAAATTTTGGGGGTGAGTCATCAGACTGTATAGCATTAAAAAAGATTTAGCATTGCTCGTATCTTATTTCTTTAAAAAACTATTATAATTTATAGATTTAGGAAGTTTTCAAACATATGAAAATATGAAAATATACACTACCTCATAATGTTACAAGAGCAATTAGTAACAAGTAACAGGGCAGGTCCAAGGCAGAAATGGGAAACAGACAATAACCCGGACATCCCTAGCCTTCTCAGGTATACCCTTTTTCTCCCTTGGTGACTTACCCACTTTGAGTAGCACTCTTTCCCTCAGACACCCAGGGGCCTTCGGCTTCCCTTTTAAAATGTGCTCCTTCTAAAACAAAATGTGAAATTCATATGCACTGAAGTAAACATGACTAATAACTCGGGAGTATTACTCTTACAGGGTTATTTGTACCTTTCACCTTAAACTTCAAGAGGTAAAATGGAATTCTTAGCACTGGCTAGCAGGTGTCACTGGCAGATCCACTGAGCTCACCCTACAGGAACTGGTAGTTTTATCTTTTAGAAACTAACAACAGAAGGAGAAATGAGCTCTGGGCAGCCAGTTTGGGCTCAACCACCAAGCCAACACCTGTGCAGATGGGCCATAAAGTGTCTAACAGTTACCTCCGCCTCATCATACTGTTAAGATCTCTGCTCCAGAAGGACCACAAGCTTGCTCACATAACACACGATGCCTGTATATGCATAATTTCTAAGTCTGCACATGTGTGACCTTATACCTGCCTGTGCTTGCAATGATAAAGGTCTCCTTCTGAATATTCTCTCAAATCCTAAATAAAAAGAGCTCCCTTACCCCTGCTCAGGGATCACAGCTTTGGAAGTTATCCTCCATGATCTCATTTGCTGCAAAGAAAGATTACTTTGTGTGACAGCTCCACCTGGTGTAGTCTCTATCTGTAACTCACCAAGGAGCGAACTCACATTAGTTTGCTTACACAGGCAGGAGTGACTTTATCAGTAGTGCCTTTGAGATTTCATGTTACAGTCACATTCAGCCTCGGATACAGTCAGCATGGAAGACATGAAAACATACAGTGTAAACCTACTAATCAGAGTTAACAGTAAGATTTTAACTTTATAGTTCAATTCGGGAACAATTTTCAACAATAAAACTACCTCCAAACTGGAAATTGTATATCTCTTCTCAGTAATGCTACATCCTGTGTTGTATCAGCAAAAGTCACTTAAGGACAAAATACAAAATGTGAGACAAGACCAATGCTTTATTTTTTTTTTAAAAATTTATTTATTTGAGAGAGCGAGAATGAGAAAGAGAGAGCACATGAGGGGGGGGAGGGTCAGAGGGAGAAGCAGACTCCCCGCTGAGCAGGGAGCCCAATGCGGGACTCGATCCCGGGACTCCAGGATCATGACCTGAGCCGAAGGCAGACGCTTAACCAACTGAGCCACCCCGGTGCCCAAGACCAATGCTTTAAAGCTAGAAACATTCTACAACAAATTGAGAAGGGGCTGTATGCCAGAAGAGGGGTTTAAGAAGCTGGCTTTGCTTTTTAAGGAAAGGAGGAGGCTGGAAAGATAGAGTAAGAGGATCCGAAGCTCACCTCATCCCACAAATAAAACTAGATTAACAGTCACATCGGCGTAAATAATCCAGAAGACTAGTTGAAGACTGGTAAAAAGCTAGCTTTGTTATTCGTAACTGCTATTTTCTTAAAATCTATTAAAAACTCTACTTTTAGTAACTAAATAATGCAAACCGCTTCCCTAAGAACACCTGGCTGACTCTCTGCACAGATCTCATTCTGAAGCACTATACAGAAGGATAAAAGTATATGTGAGGGAAATCACGTACAGCAGTTTGCATATAGAGTCTGAAGTTCTTAAACTCCCTCCATCTTAATTTTAAAAAATCTGAATTCACTCAAGCAAATCATTGTCTGAAATTCAACCACTGGAATTACGCTGAAAATAGAGAATTTGCTAATGTGCTTTCATCAAAATGTGACATTTCTATCTTCATATCTTCATACTTACAACGGTAAAAAAAAAATTAAACTGTAACAAAGCTAAACTAAAAACTGCTTTTGAGATGTTACTGACAATCTGGCATACAATTGACACAATAATCACAAAAGGCTAAGATGTGCTTGCATACTGTAGCAAACATCACAGACTATCAAAAAGCCTTTCACAACTCCCTTCTCTTTGTGCCTTTCTCTCTTATAGACCCTAGAAAGAAAGAAAAAAAAAGATTTCAAATAGCTGCAGTTAGAGATGGCCATCAGCACAGGTCTGGGCAGTGAGGGCTGTCCTTTACAAATATGAAGGTAAAGACTTCCAATGACAAAGCCCCTTTACCTCTTTCTCCTTTTTCCTGCCTGAATGTGGATGGAAGGTCCAGAGATGTTACAGCCCCTTTAACCACAAGACAATAAATATGAACACAAAGGTCTACACGCAGACCACATGGAGAGGTAAAAGGAATTAGGATCCCTGAGTCAACAAATCAGGTCTAGACTGCCCACCCCTGGATTTCTTATTGCATTAGATACATAAAAGCTATCGGATTAAGCTCTTGGAGTAGGGTTTTCTACTAGTGCAGCTGAATGTGCTCACAGTGGAAACAAATACAAAATTCTCACGTAAAAATCAAATTAAGAGGTATGAAGAAAATCCTTACCAAGTCCTCAACCTAGAAAGAACTTCAATAATAAGCTTGTATTTTTGTTTTCTTTACCTAAAGAGGACAACTAACACAAAACCATACAAAAAAAAGGGTGTGGGGGGGTGGAATTGACAGCAGAGGAAACTCCAGATTCCAATGCCAAACGAAAGTGAGAGAAGACTGGGGCAGGGAGAAGGTATGTATGGGTGTAATGCCAGACAATGAGGGTCCAATAGGCTTTACCTAACATCTCCTATATGTCAATTTCAACTGTCAGTGCAGAAAGTAAAGTTCATTTATTGGGCAGAGGAAACTCCAATTCAGTGTTTTAAGTCTGAGCCTTCAAATTTGGGAAGCTTTCCTCCAGGTCATCAGCAAGAGTTTTATCAACTTCATGTAGAATTTTGAGAAAGTCTTCTATCTGTGGGTCAAACAAAAGAACCAAATAAATATAAGTAGAAGAAAAGGTGATTTTAAGATACCAGTTGTTTACTATAAAAATGTTCTACCTATGGTTTCTAAAGAGTCCAAAGGAAAAGAAATGTTGACAGATCCCCAGATGACAATAACAGTCATTCCCAGGTAGTCCTCTGAAACATCAAAGTGACTAGCCCTTACCGTTTAGTTTTACTCTTGAACTATGATTTATACTCCCAATGCTTCCCCTTTAGCATCCATTACTGAGTTTTATTACCCTCCTCCTTGCTGACATGGCCTCTTACTCCCACATTCCATACTTCATTTTCCTAAAAAAAGTTCCTATTTTAAAATTGCTTCTGGGTGCCTGGGTGGCTCAATCGGTTAAGTGACTGCCTTTGGCTCAGGTCATGATCCTGGAGTCCCAGGATCGAGTCCCACATCGGGCTCCCTGCTCAGCGGGGAGTTTGCTTCTCTCTCTGCTGCTCCCCCTGCTTGTGTGTGCGTGCTCTCTATCTCTCTGACAAATAAATAAAATCTTTAAAATGAATGAATGAATAAGTAAATAAATAAAATTGCTTCTAATGGTAGCAAATGTGATGGAATTTGAAGAATCAAAAACCTAATGATCATTTCTACCCAAGAATCTTATTTTTGCTTAATGTATATGCTATTTACTTTATAACAGTAAGAGGTCCAATAAATTCAGTGTTGACGCCTTTCTCTTAAAATTACAATCACTATTCAGGCTAGTCCCATGAATTACCCTGCAGTCATCTATCTGACGAAGGCACCAAGTCATGTGAATTGTATGCATGATCTTTTTTGACAATGGGCTCAGAGATCAAGCACTTATGTAAAAACATATAGTAATCCTATAAAACTCAGCCACCTATACTCATACTCATACTCATACTCATACTCATACTCACCACCGGACTATAAAAAGGAAGAAGGTTTTCAAATGCACAGGAACACTTCTGTTTGCTTAACTGGCCCTCTTTTAGTCCCTGAGCCACAGTCTCCTAAAACAAACAAACAAAGATTTAATGTTAAAAAAGGAAAATTTTGGGGGCGCCTGGGTGGCTCAGTTGGTTGGGCAACTGCCTTTGGCTCGGGTCGTGATCTTGGGGTCCTGGGATCGAGCCCCTCATCGGGCTCCCTGCTCGGCGGGGGGCCTGCTTCTCCCTCTCCCACTCCCCCTGCTTGTGTTCCCTCTCTTGCTGTCTTGTGTCAAATAAATAAATAAAATCTTTAAAAAAATAAAAAAGGAAAATTTCTAAAGCTTTATTTGATTAATAAATACAAATCAGTATATGTAATTCCCTACTGATCCTACGGGCATTTCAAATGTCTCAAACTGAGCCCAGCATCATTCCTCCTCACGTAACCCAAACACTGTTCCACTGTAGTCCTTATTTTAGGAAAGGGCATTGCCACCCACCCACCTGGCTACACAAAGCAGTAACCTAAGATACAGCCAAGATTTTTCCTCCTCCTCTGCTGCTGCTGACCCCTCCTAAGAGTTTAATTCTACTCTACTAAATCTCTCTCATCCCTCCTCTTCTTTCCATCCACCCTTCCACTATTTGGGGTCTTATTATTTTTCAGATTACTCTTCAAGATTACCACCCACAAGAGCCTGTTGGTTGGTCTGCAGGCCTCCAGCCTCAACTCTCTCTAATCCTCTCTCTTGCTTCTGGAGTAATCTTTCTAAACAGACCATCTCACTTGATCCTTAAAACAAAAACTTTCAGTAGCTCCTCAGTCCTCAAAATTAAATCCATATTCCATTAGGTATGGCACATAAGAATTTTCATGACATATCCCTGGTTTATTCTCAGTCCACCCTCCTATATTTCTGTCACTTAAAAATAAACATTCCTCCAAAAACAAAAAGCATGCAGAAAGATGACAGCAAACAATGGGAAAAACACATGCAATGAATATGCAAAAGATATTATTATTGCCCAAAGAGTTCATGTAAATAATCAAAATAGATAAATTTATAAAGTAGGAAACACAAATAATATACAAATATATGGGGGGGTGCCTGGGTGGCTCAGTCAGTTAAGCGTCTGCCTTCGGCCCAGGTCATGATCCCAGGGTCCTGGGATTGAGCCCTATGTCCGGCTTCCTGCTCAGCAGGGAGTCTGCTTCTCCCTCTCCCTCTGCCCTTCCCCAACTCCTGCTCTCTCGCTCTCTCTCTCCAATAAATAAAATCTAAAAGAAAAAAAGCCCACAAATATATGAAAAGATGTTCAATCTTACTAATAAAAAATACAAATCAAAATAAGGAACAATTTCTCACCTACTGAACTTTACTTGATATAAAAATTGTAATATCTGATAATAAGAATCCTATAAAGCCAACATTTTCACATAAACCTATTTGGGCAATATGCAGCCATTAAGCCTCAGCCATCTTCACTTGTACAATACCAAGCCCAGTAAGCTAACTTCCAAAAATCTATGCTCAAGTAATAACCCCTATCTAGAAAAGCAGAATAGTTGACCAAAAAAACAAATTACCAGAATAACAGAAACTTCTTTTAAGAAATATTCTTAAAAAAATGCAATGAATGTACATATATTCTTCATAGTTATATTTTTTTCTAAAATACATGGATAGAAAGTACACCCAAAGGAAGAATATGCTAAAAATCCCAAGCATATTCAGGAAGAATATCCCCTAAAACAAGTCTGCAGTAAATTATGAAAACTGATTTTTTTTGACAAATTGGGTATTAAACTGGTTCTCAGTGAAATGTCTTTCAGTAAATTTAGAGTGTGGAAAAGGGCTCATAACATAATGTTTAGTGAAAAGAGCAGTCTATAAAATTCTATATACTGGATTTTAAGTATGTGAAAAACACATATATAAACACACCAAACCATATCAGTTGCTGCGTTAAGATTATAAAGTTACAGTGATAATTTTTTCTTTCTCTATTTCCCCAAATTTATGTAATATAGTTATTTTATTTATTTATTTGTTTGTTTTAAAGATTTTATTTATTTATTTGAGAGAGCGAGCGAGCAAGAAAGCACAAGCAGGGGGAGCGGCAGAGGGAGAAGGAGAGGCAGACTGCTGCTGAGCAGGGAACCCGAAGTGGGGCTCGATCACAGGACCCCAGGATCATGACCTGAGCTGAAGGCAGACACTTAACTGAGTCACCAAGGTGTCCCTTTATGCTACTTTTATATTAATAAAGTTTGGAGCATTAAGCAATCCATACTTTCTTTTGCTGAAGAAACCATCAATACTTCTTTCCTACCTTTGTTAAAACCTGAAAAATATTAGAAAGAAATTCACATGAAATATCCTTTAAGATTTTCAAGTGGAAATCATCTTGGGTTAAGTCAGACTTTTTCGTTTCTTCCATGTTAGAATCTGCCGAGTTCTCTGGTTTCTTCTGACAATGTTCCATGTTTTGTAAGACACGAATCAGGCTGTCAATTAGAGGAAGATCTAGTGTACAAAGAGATCAAGAAGCACAGAATTAGCCAGTTCAATTTGGTCTTTTCTCCTTTTGTTGACTGATTCATTCATTCAAAAGTACTGAACAACTTACTAGTAGCTAGACAGTTCACTTAGGTAGCAGAGATATGACCACAAACAAGATCATTGAGGCCTGAGCCTTCAGGAGGTTCACATTTTCATACTCTCAAATAAACTAATGAATAAAACAGATCATCTCAGCTTTGAGTGAGTTCTATCTATGAAGGAAATTAAAGGGGAATATAATAAAGCAGCCAGCAGGGGAAGCTCTCTGAGGTGAGAACTACAGGAGAAGCATCAATGCAAAGAGCCTAGGAAAACAGTTCAGGCAGAGAGAACAGTAAGTGCAAAAAGCCCCAAAGAGGAAATGGTCTGAGGAACAAAAAGGCCACTGTGTCTCAAGCCAAGTGAAGCAAGGGGGAAGGAGGGCACAAGACAAGTTTAGAGAGCTAGGCAAGAGTCCTATATCATGCAGTGCCTTGGAGGCCACAGTGAGAAAGAATTTGAATTTTAAACTTTATCATCAACATCTTAAACAAAGCTTTTAAATTATATATTTCTTTAAGTTAAATTTCAAAAACAGTATGATTTCTTAAAAGACTGAATAATTATTTTAACTAGCCTATAATAAAAACTAAACATAAATAAAACTAAAGCTCAGACTCAAAATATATGTTACAGCATGAACATGTTAAAGGGCATCTCACTTTGATTCAGCCACTGATTCTAACCCTACCATTTCTGCATCATAGTTACAAATCCAGGAAACAAGATTTTCTGTAGCACTGAATCCAGTATATTGATTTTAAACAATCTAACTTTACTTCCAGATTTAGGTCATTTATAGTACATGAAAATGACATTTTTAAAAAATTAAGGAAATAAAAAACTAGGGAAATCATATCCCTTATTTCTCAACTCAGTGTCACCTCTTCAAAGCACCCAGCCTGCAGGGCTGCTTTACTATATTCCCCTTGGATTTATTCCCACTCTCTTCCTTCTGTTGTCCCTAACTCTTGACTCTAACACTCAGTTCTTCACTCCATGATGTCCCTGTAGGTCACATCGATCTACACTATACCATTCTTCTCTCTTTCTCACCCTCAGCCCTAACTCTGCAACGCCCTTATTCAAGGTGTAGGGCAGGATGAGTGGGTGAGGGCTATTTAGTGGTTTTGAGGTCAAAGAGCATCTTTACACTTTCTCCCCCAATCATAAAAATCATACATAAAGTTTCAGGGAGTTGAGGGGTGGGGGATATAAAAAACACCCAGTCCCATAACATCAAGAAAGAGCTTTTTCCACACTGGAGGCCGGGCCACAGCCCTTCAGAGGAGGAGCAAGATGGCAGAGGAGTAGAAGACCTAAATTTCGTCTGGTCCCAGGAATTCAGCTAGATAGGTACCAAACCATTCTGAACACCTGTGAACTCAATAGGAGATCGAAGAAAAGAATAGCAGCAACTCTCTGAACAGAAAAGTGACCACTTTCTGGAAGGTCTCTTCTGATTTGTTTAGTGTATATTTTTCTGGGGTCATTGTTACCCTGTTAGCATTTTGTTCTCTCATTCATCTATTCTCCTATGGACAAAAGGACAAGATGGAAAAAATCACCTCAACAAAAAGAATAAGAGGCAGTACCAACTGCCAGGGACCTAATTAATACGGACATTAGTAAGATGTCGGAACTAGAATTCAGAATGACAATTATAAAGATACTAGCTGGGCTTGAAAAAAAGCATGGAAGATACGAGAGAAACCTTTTCTGAAGAACTAAAAGAACTAAAATCCAACCAAGTTGAAATCAAAAAGGCTATTAATGAGGTGCAATCAAAAATGGGGGCACTAACTGCTAGGATAAATGAGGCAGAAGAGAGAATTAGTGATACAGAAGACCAAACGATGGAAAATAAAGAAGCTGAGAAAAAGAGAGATAAACAACTACTGGATCATGAGGGCAGAATTCAAGAGATAACTGATACCATAAGATGAAACAATATTAGAATAATTGGGATCCCAGAAGAAGAGAGAGGGGCAGGAGACATATTGGAGCAAATTATAGCAGAGAACTTCCCTAATTTGGGGAAGGAAGCAGGCATCAAAATCCAGGAGGCACAGAGGAACCCCCCTCAAAATCAATAAGAACAGGTCAACACCCCAACATCTAACAGTTAAACTTACGAGTCTCAGAGACAAAGAGAAAATCCTGAAAGCAGCTTGGGACAAGAGGTCTGTAACCTACAATGGTAGAAACATTAGATTGGCAACAGACCTACCTGCAGAGACCTGGCAGGCCAGAAAGGACTGGCATGATATATTCAGAGCACTAAATGAGAAAAATATGCAGCCAAGAATACTATATCCAGCTAGGCTGTCACTGAAAATAGAAGGAGAGATAAAAAGCTTCCAGGACAAACAAAAACTAAAGGAATTTGCAAACATGAAACCAGCCCTATAAGAAATATTGAAAGGGGTCCTCTAAGCAAAGAGAGAGCCTAAAAGTAACATAGACCAGAAAGGAACAGAGACAATATATTGTAACAGTCACCTTACAGGCAATACAATGGCACTAAATTCATTACCTTTCAATAGTTACCCTGAATGTAAATGGGCTAAATGCCCCAATCAAAAGACAAAGAGTATGAGATAAAAAAGCAAGACCCATCGATATACTGTCTGCAAGAGACTCATTTTAGACCCAAAGACACCTCCAGATTGAAAGTGAGGGGGTGGAAAACCATATACCATGCTAATGGACATCAAAAGAAAGCTGGGGTGGCAATCCTT